GCTGCACTCTCGTTTAAAAACATCGCCGAAATGCCAGGAAGAAATGTTTCCGTTATTAACAAGCTCGGAAAGTGTATTCCGGAGAGGAAGTAACTTTGTTAAACAAATAAATAACAGCCAAATCACCAATCAAAAGTGTTAAATTTGCATCCTGATATAATCTGTCGCATTTACGTTGTATGAAACGAAGCCTTGACATACGTAACTGGTTCACAGCGGAACAGCGTCTCATTAAGTTGCAGGAATGAGCAGAACCTCTTGGCCCATTCAGCGCATCTTTCAAAACCAAAATGCAGCGGCAATCACTGGCATCGAAGTCCGGGCAATGGAAATTACAAGAAGAAGAAGAAGAAGAAGACATGCCTCGAAGGAAATTCGTAAGAAAGTATCAGCGTAACTTGTACGAGTATCACAGCCGTGCGGAGAGCGCGCTGTAATCAGAGCTACCAGGAACTGGAAGACGATGGCTGTCTGCAGTCTAGTAGAGAGGTCAGCCTCTGTCAGACTGCGCGGCGCTACAACCCAGAAGACGGCCAGGGATTGTTTTGGATTCAGATTTCTTCCGTGTTTCCTTGCGGGGATATCTTCAACAAATTCGAAACTGCCTTATCTTCAGGACGTGAGATCTTTGAGGAATTTGTTGTCGTTATGAAAGAGATTTCTCATTCGCTCGAATGAGACGTGTCAGAGGCAGAAATAATATGCTCTTTTCCACCGTCTTCAAGAGGGCCCAAATTGCCGCTGGACCTGACCTGGTGGGGTCTTACCGTCTTCAAGAGGACCGAAACTGCCGCTGGACCTGACCTGGTGGGGTCTGCGTTCATGTATGGAGCACGCACTCCCGGCAATGACGACAATGTTAAGAATGCCGAAATTAGTTCCAGATGCACCGTTAACCAACTCGTGCTCTTTCCTTTTCCTGTTTTCGTCGGTAAGCGTTCTTCAGGTTCGATCATTTTTCCGACAGACTTTCTCTGAAAACGCAATGGAATTTACTGCACTTCTGACAAAGAAAATATTGACGTCTGCTATTTCTTAGAGCCTTCCGCTGCGAAATAATCTCGGAATGCTAAAGTGGGTGCATTTAATATAATTCTAGCCCATTTGGTTAAAACATTATATACTGTGAGTTATGGATAAGATATAAACTCAAATTAACTTCGGTTTAAGAAATCACGACACAGCGACGTCTTATCTGCGCAACACTGAAACCGACGCGGATAAAGTTCCGCGCACAATGTGGGGAAAAATTTAAAAACACTGCTTCAACTTTTTTGCGCATTTGATTAAAGCGAAATTCAGACAGAATTGCGGTTACTTACTTTGTCATACTGGCCTTAGTTACTACAAAAACAGCCCACGGCATTATCACTGCAAATTAACGCAGCGGTCAACATATGCCTCTCCATTTTCCCTCCTCCGCTGCTCGCCAAAGGACGGGGCACGGGGCGCCATCCTCCACGGAAAGCAAGTCGAGTCTTACCACGACTGCAGTTGGATTGGCGGCATTTAAAGGCTGAACAGTCAAACTGGTCTGGTCTGCTTACGTGAGAAGGTAGAGTTCTATTTAACCACCGTCGTACATTCAGACGAAATGTTCAAGCACTGGGTCACGCCCACCACAGATTTCTTGCGATGAAGCGATTCCAAATGCATTTACTGAAGTTCAAATGTTCTGTGTCACAGCGAACGTCCTTACAAGCAACGCACACAGAGACGAGGAATTTCTTAATTGCTCATGACCTGAAGACCCTTCAGCTGCGCGGAGGGACCAACAACTTACCCATTAGGCAATGCGACAGGCCTTTATCGCGGTCCGATCGCTGACCCTGCGACATTCCAGACCGGAGGCAGACAGAACGGGATTGCACTCTGCGCGTCGTGCAGAACTGAAATGTCTTCAAGGGCGGGGAATTTTAAGTTCAAGCGAAACATCCCCAATATCACCTGGGGTCTGACGCACAGGCCACATTTTCATCCCCGTGAAAACGTCTAATTCACGAGCCACTGTGTAATCTGCACTCGGATTCTTCCGCTCTTGAAACACACACACACACCATCAGAGGGCGAATATTTCTTAGGTTCCTCCTTCAAATAGGTGTGTGTGTTTCATTCTCATAGAACATTTAACCTTAACTAATGACACGCAGTTTCGTGCGCGTGAGCAAACGATCGCAGGCGAAGACTCGGAGAACCTGCGATGTTGAAAGAGGTCCCACAGCTGCACCAGAATGATATTTTGTTGAGCGCCAACAGTATATATATGTAGCAAAGCAAAAAAGTTACATTTCGTAAGAAACTCGAAGGCCGCAGGTTACATAAGGTGTCATTAAAATAAAAAGTGAGTTACACAATCTGAAAGGATGATTTCATTTCCTTTCAAACAGCCGAAAAATCAGTTTTGTGTCCTCTGCTAAAACCCCCCCTGCAATTTCTATTATTTTCGCACGCCTCCAACTCAGCTTGCTGAATTTTTTTTAGGAATGCTGTGTTCTACGGAATGAATACACATGACGAACAACTTTCATGTAAATCTCAGAAGGTCGGGGTGTGGACCCTTATAATTTGTCGTGCAACGTTTTCGCTATGGAAGACGCCTTCCCAGTCTTGCTATTAGTACATTAACGTAAGAATATTTATCCTTAAATTATTATAAAACATTAAACAATAAAATTGCTCAGGGATTCTCGACTTTGGGCATACGGCTTGCCTTCCGCATCAGTTTAGACAAGTGTTCAATGGTATTTTAACACAGGGACGCCTACCCGAGCGTCCTGGTTGTGTTAATGAAAGTATCGAGTTTATTTTACCTGTAATAAACTCCTGCTTTCACTTGCCAGGAAGCAAAACGCGACCACTACGTCTTCTGAAAACCGCACAACAGGAAAGTTATACTAATATCGACATCGTCCAGTTTTGGTTAAAAACTAATGATGATGATGATAAAATGACCTTCCTTGAAAACCCAGGTGTTTCTGAGGCCATTCGTAGCATCTTAAACAAAATATCCAAAGAAAAATGAAACACGTTTTGTGCTAGTATATGCTCAGTTGTTATGAGCCTAATGGACGAAGCTCGAGGACTGCAGGGCCGCAGGCCCTTCGTTGCTTGTCTGGAAGGAGCACTCACGAAATGAGAATCCAAGGCGAAGAGAGCGCGCATATTTTCTAATTTCTTTCCTTCCAAAGAGCACGGCTTCGTCGAAGCGGATTTTCACATTCTCGAGACACGGCCAATGCCGATCTCAGAAGAAGCGTATCACGTGACGC